ACTATTTTTCAGGAAGACGATGTCACTTACACACAAAACTTATAAAATAAAGATCCTGGACGGAAATATCACTATTTATTAAAAACAGACTATTTTTCAGGAAGACGATATCACTTACACACAAAACTTATAAAATAAAGATCCTGGACGGAAATATCACTATTTATTAAAAACAGACTATTTTTCAGGAAGACGATGTCACTTACTCACAAATATTTGAGAGGGAGCTTCCGATAAAAATTCGGCTCGGGAGAGGAGTTCACTGTGTTTCGACCAGAGAAAAAATCTCAAAAGTTTTTTAAGGTAGGAGTCTTCACCTCTCTGAATTTAAATTCTACTAACATATTATTTTATTCTTTTATTACGTTACAAGTGTGAGCGTTAGTTTACGCTTTAAACACCTCAAGCTTTTATTACGTTACAGGTATGAGCGTTAGTTTACGCTTTAAACACCTAAAGCCCACGTCCTTTAGTGGACGTGGCAAGAGCAAGGAAACACAAAGCTTTTAAACGAAAAGCTTTGAAAAGTAGCGATGGTCCCTAAACACCATCATGTTCAAACGAATCATCATGTATTAAAAGTTTATTTTCTTTTTTTTTGAAAGTTAAGGATTGTTACAGAATGTTAGTGTCAAAAAATCATAGAATGAATGTAGTGGAGATGATGATGTTGAGATGGATGAATGCAATGACAAGAAGGGATGAAATTCGAAATGAATACATTCGAAAAAATTTAAGTGTAGTATAAATAAGTGATAAGATGATAGAGAGTAGATTTAGGTGGGTTGACAATGTGTGGTACAAACTCAATACAATACTTATTAAGAAGTGCGAGTTAGATCAAATGGAAAGCTAAAAAAAAACAGGGGTGGGCCCAAAAAATATGGTTGGAAATAGTGAGAAATGATATGGGGACTTTATGGCCTCACTAATGGTACGACCCTTAATGGAATATAATGGCAGCCCAGAATTCGTGCAGCCGTTTCCAATTAGTTGTAAAAAGGCTTTAATGATGATGGTGCCGCTGTGGATGTTTTTAGAAAAATGGATTAGTAATAAAATAAAAAATGGGTTGAAATTGTAATATGGACCGCTAAAATATAAGGGAGGGGTCTAATGCCCTATTATTAAACAAACTCGGGATGAAAGTTTACTAAAAAGGGGATAAGCCTCCTTTTCCCCTATTCTCATAAAAGAAAAAAAAAATTGAAATACAAGGATTTTGATACTTGGATCTCTTCTTTCAACAATTGGATAGCCTTGGTTCAATCTTGAGAGTTAGTTTGATGTTTTTCTATTTAAGTTAGTCCATAGGTTTAAGATTGGGAAAATTATGTATATATCCGTTATAGTTTCCGTTATTGCGAACTACCAAATAGTTTTCATTATTAATTGTCGGTCCATTTTTTTCACGTCAACACAAAAATATTTAAAAAAATACAACTTTACTTTTTTTTTATTGTTGAATAACCGAATTCATAAAATTCTCCATTGTCCAACAACCGAAAATAGGCCAATTTCGGTTATTCAAAAACCAAAAAGTTTGCTTTTGTATTTGCAAAGTGCTCCTCCATAGGCCAGCTACAAAAAGAGCCTGACCCGCTTCACTGCGGAACTGGGGCCTACTGCCAAAAGGGTGGCCCAAAGAAAGATCCAAGCTGCTGCTCAAGGACAAATTGCGGCATGCCTAAAAGGTATACCTTCAACTGTACCCCTTCCCAGTCAAATTTCTGACCAGTTTTGGATCCTTGAGTCCCCTCAACGACTTTCCGGTTATGCAACCCCTCTTCAATCAACTTTCTGAGCGTTTGCCGGCCGCACCCTCAATAACCAATTTGTTGGCCATTTGGCAGCCAACCAGCCCCCTCTTCAATCAAACTTTTGCCCATTTTCTGGCCAGTGGACCTCCTTAACCCCATCCCAACCAACCTTTTACTGACCAAATTTCTAGCCTTTTCCTCGCTACCCAAACCCTTCACGTTCAATTTCTCAGCCGTTTTTCACCCCCTCCATCATTATAACCTTCCCGGCAATTTCCTACCAATGCAAGCCCTTTTAGATATAGAGGGATGAGGTAGAGAGAGAGAAAGAGAGAGATGGTGGATGGAGGAGAGAGAAGGCAAGTAGAGAGAGATGGTGGGTGGAGGAGAGAGAGAGGGTTGTTAGAGAGATAAAAAGAGAAAGTGCGAGAGGGCAGGTAGAGAGAGAATAAGAGAAAGTGTTGCCCATATGTAAATACAAAAGCAAAATTTTCAGTTATCGAAGGATTGAAATTGATTTATTTTCGGTTGTTAAACAACTAAAAATTTTATGAATTCAGTTGTTCATCAATTTAATAAAAGTAAAGTTAGCTTGTTTTAAAATTTTTGTTTTGATGTGAAAAAAACGGACAGATAAATAATAACGAAAATTATTTGATAGTTTTGTAATAACGGAAAGTGTAACGGACATATACGTAATTTTTTCCTAAAAAAGTTATATCAAATTTAAGGTTATTTGAGTTTTACGAAAGGGAGTAATAGATGGTATACACCCGGGGGAGTAGAAAAGCTTTTGACTTTACTTTAATATGCTCATTTCCAAAAGCTAGCATCTCTCTCTTCCGAGAGTGATTACGCCCCAACCTCGGAATCACCATTGAATTGGATTTCGTCCTCGGCAATGAAAGAAAGAAAGCCTCTCTGCAACTCGCTTTCCTCTCTCTAGAGAAAGAAAGCCCTCGACTCTTCCCCGATTCCTACCCTCCTTTTCTCCCTAGCTGTCACTTCCTAGAGAGAGAAACCCCACCATGAAAGAAGTATTTTTGAACTTTTGTCACAGAGACACAGGAAAGGGCTTCACTGCCCATCTTGATAATGCTCTCAGGGATTCTGGTATCTCCACCTTCTTCTTGTACACACAACAACACCACCAACAAGATGGTGATACTAATGGCCAAAGAGGAGAGGCCGTATTACCTGATGATATAAAGAGAGCCATTGAAGAGTCTCAGGTCTTTATAAGCATCTTTTCCTGTAACTATGCTTCCTCTGTGTCCTGTCTTGAGGAGCTCTCTTGTATGGTGAGGGTCCTTCAGGTGAAGAAGAAGACCATTTTCCCTGTGTTTTACGACGTGGACCCTGCAGATGTTCGCAGGCAAATGGGGTCTTTCAGGGTGCCTTTCTGGCGGCATAGAATTTGGTATGATGGGGAGAAGGTGGAGAGGTGGAGAAATGCTCTCAGAGTTGTTGGAGAGGTTTCAGGTTGGGATCTGAAGAATTTCGGAGACGGGTATGAGCTGGCCTGCATTTTACTCTCTCTCTAGCTCACAAACAAGAGATTATAATTAAAAACTCCATTAGTTTAAGTTCCTTTTTGGCTCTGGACTTAATTATACTTTTTCCAATCATAATTACCACCATTAACTAAATCATGAAGTAAGGGGTAATCCTTGGTGTACAAAAGAGCTTACAATACAATTGAGGGTAATGTGCAAGCAATGATCTAAATATTTACACATCACCGATACAAATATAAGGACACGCTACGCGGCTTCCTCAACATCCGCAGTCAGAGCAACAATTTGTAGTGAAGCTGCTATGGATTTCCCCGATTAATTCTTTGGTAGAAAAGAGTTTGCTACTTGTTGTGTTTTTGTTGATTGTATATCATTGCAGAAGCCATCGGCTAGCCTAATTTCTCTAATGATAATCTACCTTAATGTTGATAGATTACCATCATTTACATGGAAAAAAATAGGTGATAATTTACCTTATGTATAGAGCCTTTCCACAAAACATGGCTGCTATCTGGCGCTAATATTGTCGCCATGAATAGTTGCAGGTATTCTAATGTGAACTCAGGTATCAACAAATATGTCTCAACGCTGCCTGATCTCATTGGCACTCCTGAAATAGTTCTGTTTTCCTCTGCACTGGACTTAGATATTGCATTCTATTATTTGCTGCGTAAATGATTGTGTACCGCTTTTCATTGGATGTCTAGCTCACTCCGTGTAGGCAATGCCAACAACAAACTTTTGTACACCATATGGGGTAATATGTGAGTATTTGATGGCATGTTGAGTTCCTTCATATGAGAGGTGTATGGTGCACGCTCATTTCCTGTAATGTGTGAGTATCTCCAGCCTTTATGGTTAATGAGGTCATTGAGGAGAGTACCTACAATTGAGTTGTTTTATGCAGTAGGATCATGGAGGAGCTAACTTTCACTTATCAAATACTTGAGCTCAAGATGGGTTTTAACTCCTTCGAACTTGGTCAATTGGGCCTAGGAAACAATGTTTTGTTTTTACATACATTGTGTTACTATAATCTATTACAATGATCTAGTACTTTCTCGAGTCTGATGAAATACAACAAATGTACCCTATCTTTCATCCAGAAATTGCTGCTATAAATCATCCACAATTTGTGATATTGTTTTGGTGCTGTTTCCAATGATAACAATATCATCCATCTGTAAACAAGGTATAATGATCTGATCGCCAGTGCAACTAGCAAAAAGATAGGGATTGATTGATAAATAGACCACTGCTTGTAGACTTCTTCCTATAGTTCACAACCTAAAAGGCATTTGCCAAGTTATAATTGTTAAATGGATCCTGCTTCAGGATGTTAAGAAATAGTATGTAACATGCAATGGTCATCAATTGGTGTAGATATCTCTTTATACACCTTGGACTTTGTACGCTCAAAAATACTATCCACATGGAATTTGATTTTGTAGACCCACTCCACTAACGGGGCATTTTTTATGTGGTACTTAGTGTGACATCATGTATTCTTATGTTGAAGAGCATTAATCCCATCAAGCGTCGCTTGTCACCATCTAGGCCTCTTGTAGCCTCTGCAAAAGAATTAAGCTCTCAATGAACAAGCTAAGTAGAATGGTCACTAGAGATGAGGTCAAATAGGAAAAAATGCTTTCACTTGTTTTCAATATGAGGAGTAATGGGAAGAATGGACAGCACACCTGAACTTGGGGATGGGCAATCATGAGAGAGAGAGAGAGAGAGAGAGAGAGAGAGAGAGAGAGAGAGAGAGAGAGAGAAGTAA